ACAGTAATTTTAAATATATACAATTATTTCTCAAATAAGTCTATTAATAAAGTCTATTAACCTCTTAAGGACAATAACTGATTTATATTGTAAAATTTGCGATGTTAAGCTAATATTCGATGTTTTGAAATACATCTTATTCATGTTATGAATATTAGCAGTTTAATATTTAAGATTTATTTAATTCACTCGAATATTTGACTGAATATTACGCATAGTATGTACAGTTTTATGTACAGTTGTTACTTTACAGTTTATTGTTATTTTTAAAATTCCAGAATGAGTTGCTTAAGTAAGTATTATTGTCAACAAATTACTGTTCTTAATTTGTTCTTATTTTCTTCCAAAGAACAAGTTCAATTAATAAAGTACAAAAATACAAAGTACAAAAATTGAAATACAAAATTTAAATTCTTAAGATCAGTCTGTATACAAGCATAATATATAAATGTTTGCACGCACCTGCAGCATGTATAAGAAGAAGATGGCCCGTATTTGGATCTCTGACCAACTGCAAGCCACCTTGAACTCCGACACCCATTTGTGGAAATCCGACTGGTTCCATCGGCATTGCTGAAACATCATTATAAATGACGAAATTTCTACAATAGGTACTAAGTTTGTTTCATTCAATAACTCAATCATAGTCAACTGAAACGTGTTTCGCATGTTATTCCATGCGAAAGCTAATTTGATCACCATTGTATAATAAAACCATATTTAACACTTTGACTACCAAATAAACACTCATCGAAACTCCTATGTGGTCAAAATAATTTTCTTAATAAAGTAGAAACTAAAAAGTCAAGATTCTTCGTAACGACTGCTCTGTTGTCCCTCTTGCATCTCATACATCCAACAGAATTCGGTTCGTTCGAAACGTCATCAAGAAAATTAATGTTTAAGTTTATGGAAAAAATGGTATCATTTGAATTCGGGTGACGTGGTAGTCAGAGTTTTAACGCAGAAGATACGTTCGAAAAAAATCAAGCGCAAATGAAAAGCGTTGAACGAGGTCATCTTAACATGCGAATAATGAAAATAGCTGAAATAGGATAACGAATAAAAATATATAACATTCTTTTTTTATTTTGTGACATTCGTTATGTGAGTGCAACGGTTTGAAAACCGGCGCTAAAATGAATCAATGAAAAATATAGAATTCGAAAAATAATGTCTTACTGCGATCAATAATTATTATCAGTAATGAAATGCGGTTCTTTTTCGAATTCTATATTTTTCATTAATTCATTTTAGCGTGGGTTTTCAAACCTGCATACTCGCATAACACATATTACAAAATAATACGACAAAAATAGTATCATCAGATAGACACTTTTGCTGATTTCCCTGGAAATATTTCCTCCATCGCGATAAAAGAGTCGCGAAGTATTTGGAATAAGTACAGCAAAGAGCTGAAAATTGTCGACTCAAATACAAGGGCACTTGAATAATTTAAGGAAGCTGTAAATGCGCGAACAACGTGAATATAGATCCTTGTTATCCGGTTAAATGTCACTCGGTCACCGTTCGAATTTGGTCGTCTTACTAGTCATTTCACGGGAGGATGAATGCAGCCCGAAATCATGCCGATAAATAAAAGATATATAAGAGGACTGTGAAATTTGGTGCACCTCCAAAAATATATAGCAATAACCCTCTTAACTTTTTTGTATTTCGTACATCGAACGAAATTCAGTTTATTCAATATGTCATCGAAAAACTTAACGCTTTATCTATCGTAGGTTTATCAATGATTTATGAACGTGTATTCAAAAATAGTTTAATAATTTTCTTTGAATAACAATTACATAATAACAATACTCAAGTTGATTTGCTGATTTAAGATTGTGGTTGATATTGTTACTGAAATATTGTTTAAAAAATCCAAGAACATTGATTATTATCAATAAACTTTTCCAAGACTGCTAATGAGTGACGTGATAATTTTAAAATATATAAAAAATTGTATCGTTTGAATTTAGGTAATGCAAGATCAGTCATCACATAAAATTAATTAAAGCACCCATTGCTAACTTGGAAACAAAATGAAACAGGATATAAGTTTATATAAACCTTTTTTAATCTTTTCATGTATATCTAAAAACCTCTTCAAATGGTTTTCACGAAATACCTGCGTATATATCGACTAAACACTGTTTTAATATTTGAAGCAGCCCGTATAGCATCATATTTACTTTTTCATTCGCATAAAAATGTCACATGCAATATATCCCAGTTCGTATCAGAACGATCTCTAACTAAAATTAAAATTTGTTACTTAAATTAAAAAATGGGTGTCAAACAGATTGTTAGTTTATGCACGATAATTCCGAAATAGTTTCATTTTGTTTGATATTTTCGTGACAAATGGCTTATCCATAAAGAGACTAAACCAGTAGATGAAACGATGTACCGGAACTGCAGAGGATCAGCCATATTTTCTGTAGTGAGCGTATTAATGAGGCGTCAATTATGCATATTTGTCTCGGGTTCGGTAACTGATACTGAACGGTTGATCGTAATAATTTACAGAGCCATTGAAAAAGGTCACATTTGGAGTTACCGAAATTATCGTGATCATCGAACAAGAGGAACAAATGATCACGAGCTTTCGAGGAAAATATTTTTGGCATTGTGTGGCAGCAGTTTATTGGACAAGCAACCGTGCACACCAAGCAAAAAGGTTTGGGATTAACTAAATGGCGGTCAGTAAATACCTACTCGATTACTGAAATGATTTATTCGGCTATACAGGCAGCCAGAAAAAGAGGTTGCTCGTTGTAACGTTGCTATGTAATACATCGCATTGAACGAATTTCGATGTTTTTATAAAGCAGAAATTTAGTAAACAAAAGTAATGCATTATTGATGATTTATTGTAACAGTAACCCTTTGCATTCGACAGACGACCTCTAGTCGCCAACTCATTCGATGCAACAAGCTCATAACATTACATTTTTAAATTCAAATGTTGTACAATGCATTAACACATGAAGCTTTGACAAAAAGATATGCAAAAGTACGATATAAGCCAACAGACAATAATTACTTATACAATACAAAAGTAGATAGCCACATAAAAAGGACCAACATTTTTCAATTTGAATGAAGTTCATTCCTTAATTAAAACGTCGTTTGATCAAAATATTACTAACTTCGCAAATTCCAATCACTAAAATTTCATATTCATACACGAAGTGTAAGATACGCCATTCATGAGAACACTACAAAACGAATTTTTTAGCTTCGAAATGTCGCACGATAAAGACAAATAGAACAACGAAAGGATAAAATTGACGGGAAAGAAGTGAACGACCTGAAAGAAGCAATTTCCAAGAAGGAAACGCCGTAGATTCGGTGACGCTTAAAGAAAAGTGAAAAAGGAAAGAAGAGGAAGCAAGTCGAGAATGGGACTCACCTGCAGCTGCAGCTGCAGCGGCCGCGGCCGCTGCGGGGTACTGCCATAAGGTAGGCGGCCATGCGGCTGCGGCTGCGGCCGCGGCCGCGGTGGCTGCGCTGGCCGCGGCACCGATGCTGCCCAGCGTGGAATTTAGGCTGGAATTCAGGCTGGAATTCAGGCTCGAGCCGAGAGTGGCGTTCAAAGAGGGTGCTAGGGCTCCCGAAGGAATGGCTAGGTGGGCCGGACGGTCCTCCCCTCCAGGTCCTCCGCAATGCACCAGGGTCGCACCGCCTACTGCCATGGCCGTGCTTGAACCTAACAACAGGTTCAATGTGTACACAAATGTAAATGCGTCGACACTGCACAGCAACGAACAAATAATAGGTATATGATGGTCCTTGGTTTTATATCTTAGGCACGTCGACCATCTTTATTCTTGTCTGCCATCTTTCATGAAATAATTCCGTAATTTGTATTTCATATGTAATACAAGATGGCAGTTAGTATGTGGAACAAGTGCAACCGAGTTGTAAACAAGTTTTTTTTTTAATTTAATCGGTTAATTATAGAATTTAGTTTGAAAAATCTCTGATTTTGCGTGCAGTAAAATCGAAAAAATGAAGTGTGTGCTCGTCAGGCGCAGTTAACTGGTTAAATTTGATTTTGTTATGCGGAGACAATGGGTATATACTATGTTTTTATTCGTCTTTGTCTTTGGTTAATTATTGATTTTCTTATTTGTTTATATGGAGATTTCTATATTAAATTTTATTATAATATATGTATATTGCTGTTGTTAGTATAGTCATTGTATGTATTTGTCTGTATGGGTGTTTGTGATTAAAGATTATTTGATTAACAGGTTAATAGTCGATCAATTTTGATTAATTCATTAAAATTCTAAGGTACGAACACCGATATAAATCAATTATTACTATACTGACTTATTCAAACTCTGCCTGTGAATAAAAGAAACTAAATGAAATGCTTTTCTCAAGTTTCTATTTAGATTGAGTGTTGCACTTTCTTCGAAACACCGTACAGAATTCTCTAAATTCTCCGATACAAATCGAAATTTCTATTTACTGTTCCAGTGCAACAGTTACGCTCGGAACAGAACTATTTGTATTTTCCTTTTTCATCGCTAATTTTATTCAGTTTACTTAAAAATAATTCACTTTATTTTAACTTGATGAACCCGACAGAAATTTCTCATAATTTCGAAGGTCCAGTGATTAATTCGCGAATAATATTTTGAAAGTCTTGATTTCCTACACGCCTCTTCCCTTTCCACCGACGTTATCTGCTTCCAATAGAAACATTTCTACTTCAAAGAAAGCTGATAATGCAAACATACATCTAACCGCGATTGGAGCGAAGTATTATACTTGTTCCGACAATTCACCGGGCAGTTCTTTCATCCAGCTACATTCATATAAGCTATATAGTACACTATTGTTGGCTGAATGATCCATATCGCGTGTCGGTCGCGCGAAAAACCATCGATATTCTATGCAGTGATAGGATATTCTCCGATAGGGTATGCAAACAATTGCGTGCGGGACACTTTCAACTGCTAGACGAGCCATGGATAATTACGGCAGTACAATTGTAGTCGTTGTTCAAAACAAATTTTGAAACGTATGAGAGATATCGCATCGACTAAAATCGGCTTGTATTTATTTTGCTTGATATGTTCAACGTCCATTATGTACATACTTACGACGATCGCGATCTCGTATTTTCAGTAAAGAAAATGGAATTATCTGCTTGTCTTACAATATTTTTTGTCTAAGCTTTTGCCTGAAGTAACAATCAGGACATCAATAATTCAACTCTCTCTTAAACTTTTTAACTACTTCATAAAGAAAATACGTTGTGTTTAATAAAATATTCCCATTGTGAAGAAAGGTACAATGTTAACGAACGTGTTGGACCACACAATTCGATGACACGTATTTAAAAAATTGTATAGGTGAAGTTCCCTTTCAGACTAATTCAATCCAAACAAAAAAAGCCACGAACTGCGAGACCCAGAGAATCTACTAGATCCTTTACCGACAAACATTCGTCCAAGAGCGTAGGAAATCAAAAGAGGACCGTAAGACCCGGCGCAGTGGTTCTACGACGACATAAAAGACTTTTTAAAGCTGGGAACAAAAGCAACAGGAACTCACCGAGATTGTCGGGCTGAAAGTGATGATAGCTCGCGTGATGCGAGGTGTGATGACTCAGGGAAACATTGCGCATCGAAGTCGAGGTCTCCTGGTGCTGCAATCTCTGCCTGGCCACTGCGATTCCAACTGGTACGCCACCGGCTCCTGCATTTGACACCACAATTCCTGAAAAACAAACAGATACAAGTACATCAATTTCGGGTTTCATTATTGGTACCGCGTTTCTATCGCTCGTGATTATCATTCTCTTCTACGGCAATGTGTCTCTTCTCTAAACAAGCCAGTAGTGTCCAATGGACATATTCTCAAATTAACTTATTTGTCTAAACCGTTTTCCTAAATAAGATATGGTCACAATTTATTTACTTTATTATAAACATTTTGTAAAAATTATGAGGTGCGCAAATTGGGCACAAATTGGGGTCTACGTGAAGTGCAAGACTCTGGGCAAAGTGTAAGATCCTAGAGGACCCTACAGAAAGTTTTGGAAAGGAGGGGTGCTTTGTCTGCAGAAGGTCCCTTCCCAGTCAATTTTTCTCAATTCGGAAAGTCTCAATTTCGCAACGGAAGCAAACAGTTGTTTATGGAACGTAGACGTTCTCGCGACTCCAACATTCAACATTTCGTTATTTTTAATTATATCCATTCTGCAATGCTAAAATTACCGAACAGTTAAATTGACCTTTTGAAATTTCTCTACAGAAACTCTAAGAGTGCATTTATCAAGACCTTAATTGATTTACAATTCAGCTTGCGTATTGCTAAATCAATTATTTAAATAAATTTTCAAAGAAACATGAGTTATCTTCTTAATAATTGACTGATAATCGGCACGCTTCCTCCACCCTACATTATTTTAATAAAACCTGAAAACTATCAGATGTTTGTATTAAACATTACTGGTCATTTAAACAGTTTATAAAAAACAATAGTTACAAAACCAATACAGGACCGACCTAACATCAGATCCGAAGAACCGAAATCGATATGCCCAATAACAGTATTTCAATTCTCCACAACTGTTCCAGTCGCAACCCATAAATACCAGTTTCAAATGGTTACTCTCAAAACATTCTCAATCCCTGTAAAAGGTCCCGTACTAAACAAAAGCTTAAGAAATCTCTACTCTACCACCACGAGAAACAGCAATTCAAACATCCCGGCCATTCGCGGACTAGCAGATTAGCTACTACCAGTGGACGTCGGAAGATCCCCGCCGCACGTAATCAACGAAAACAGGGTTTTCCTTTGAGTTTCCTCTTTTACGTGTCCATAACGTGTCTACACGTGAAAGCGACGTTCCCGTCGCCAGGGATCGGGTCTAACCCAATGATTCTCCGTAACGGCCATTCGAGCCGCGCGCCGCCTAGCCGCGCCGTTCTTTCGCCTTTTACTCGTCGTTATTTGCCGCGAGATTCGAATGACGTAACCGCGCGCAGATAAGCATAGAGCGGTGATCATTCCATTCGCGATTGTTCAAGTGGCCGGGAGCAGCACACTTTGGTGCAGCGGGGATAGAACCCATAGGGTCGAGACTCTTTCGAGCCACGCCTTGTGTTTGCGTCGCCATGCGTGCCACGCACCTCCTACTTAACGAGCTCCTTCCCTCTTTCTCTCTCGACCCCTTTCAACCCTCCCACCCTTTCTCGCCGCACCTTCTTCCCCCCGCTTCACCCCCCACCAACCACCGTGTGCAGTATTTTTTT